CCATTTTAGTATTCCGGGTTTTAGAGATTCCGGCTTTTAGTATTCCGGGTTTTAGAGATTCCGACTTTTAGTATTCCGGCTTTTAGAGATTCCCCATTTTAGTATTCCGGGTTTTAGAGATTCCCCATTTTAGTATTCCTGGTTTTAGAGATTCCGGCTTTTAGTATTCCGGGTTTTAGAGATTCCCCATTTTAGTATTCCGGGTTTTAGAGATTCCGGCTTTTAGTATTCCGGGTTTTACAGATTCCCCATTTTAGTATTCCGGGTTTTAGAGATTCCGGCTTTTAGTATTTCCTGGTTTTAGAGATTCCGGCTTTTAGTATTCCGGGTTTTAGAGATTCCCCATTTTAGTATTCCGGGTTTTAGCATTCCCCATTCCCCGTTCCCCGATTCCTTTCCCCGATTCCCCATTCCTTGTTATAGTAATAGCCCTTAGATTATTGCACTTCACTTGGTGGAAATAATATTAGGATGTTAGGGTTTGTAATCCAAGTGAGAATATATACATTTTAAGACCTAACCAGGAACGACTGCGAAAAATGCAGCACAAGGTCCTCTGGTAGGAATTGAACCTATGGCCCTGCGATTCCGGTGCAGCGCTTTAACCAACTGAGCTACAGAGGCCAGCTGTTGAGCTGTAACCGTAAGTTCATGTGTATATAGGTAATCGGGTGTGCGGGTAGTGATAAGGTGGACTTGACCGCACACCCGATTCAAAACTGATCGCTGCTTATACACCAGAACTAAGGAACATTCATATCACACAGAATCTGTAATCCATCAACACCTCTCTACTTGCGAACAGTTTCAACATATTAAAGCCCTTTTAGAACTATATCCCTACGATGACGCAAAGTCTGATCAAACCAGTATAATGGCTGAACATGTTTTCAACAACACTGAAATAATTGATAAATCTAACCATTGGTCCCTTTTGCTATATCAAGAATCCCTCGCTATTCAAAGATATAAACCTGAACTTAATCATGGACTTAAAGCTTCTAAAGAACTAATCATATTTAATTAATTCATTAATAATCAACCTAATTATTGTATCGTATTTCTTCATATAAATACCGCTTTTGATATATAACCTAGCTAGTTTATCCTGATGATGACTGAAATATAGTCGAAACGTAGATAAATAAAAATGTTATCGACTTTTGGAGTTTCACTTGTTTTGTATTTTAATGAGTTATATTGCACTTTATTGAGTTTCTAAACCATGTATTCTATTAACTGTGGTCTCGGGAAACATTGAGACTCACGGGAAAACAAAACAAATGATTTCAATTAAGTTTGACCTTGCTTGACCATAATAGCTACAGTTATTAGGCCAAATATATAAACCAGTCATATCCCAATGTTTTAGAAGGAATAAAACCAGGACTAAAAGCTCAGGATCATTAACAGTATCTGGGGTTTAGTACAACATAAGTTTTGGGACTGTCAAAATGTTTTATAGTATATATTTTTTGAGTTGAAGAACGAAGTTTCCTTCTGCGCGTCCAAACCTTCGTCATTTTTTCAAAATACAAAAGCAAAACTCCTTACTTTTTGCTGCAGAGAGATGTAAAACAGTTGGAACTAATCGGAAAACCTGGTTTGAATCCTAATCATTGTTGTATTCCCATGAAAAAAGTGTTTTTCTTGCACGTTTTTGCTCGAAAACAAACTTTTGACCGAACTTTTTTCACTCCTCGAAACTCTCCTTAGTCCTTTTGAAAGCTGATTTTCCCGCGCGTCGGCTTCAACGAATCATAGACCTTCATCATAGGAGTTAGCCTTCCAGTTTATTTATAGTTCAATGGGAATCGTTGTGTTCACTGTTCGGGCCGGTTCCGCGGTTCGGCAAAAATATTGAAACAAGCCGCGGGAAATTTTTTCGCTTTTTTTATCTATAAGAAAGTACGTATGATATTAACTAGTTTAACCTATCTTTTAGTGTGTTTTTACGTATTTACGTTCAGCATTGTCTTTCATAATGCTCAAAATTTTCAACTTGTTGTGTTGCGAACTGTCAAACTGAAATGATACTCTCTTCTATTAACTCTTGAACAGTAGTGAACTGTCGCCAAAACTTTAATATGTAAGTCATGTCAATCAATTCAATTCACAGGTATCGTTTTATCTGCTAAATCAAATAAAACAGTTATGAGTTGTTTTATATGAAAAGTTAAACTTGTAGTTCGATGTTTTGAAAGGTTTTCACACCGATTTTAACAACAAAAACAAATGTAAAGAAACACTGGATTTAATACAATGCGTAATAGTGTTTTTATTATTAGTATTTTCAAGATTAATATTTTATTTTTATGTCAAACAAGTCAGAAATATCTGTTTCCGTATGTATTGTAAGTCAAAAACTTGAAATCACTATAAATCAAACGCTACAATTTACACGCATGCGCAGATCATGCTCGTGTCGAGTCGACTTTTTTTCATGCTGGCCTCGCCGATTTTAGCGATGATTTTCTCGTGTTTTCTTCGGTGAAATTTTTTTAAACTTTGTATTTTTGTTATACAAGACGAGTGGTACAACATATCCAAATTTTAAGAAATTCTACAAATAACTTTTTCTGTAACCGTCATTCACGAATATCTCGAAAACTTATTTGTAAACCTCCCTTCAAATTTTGATGTTTTTCCTTTATGGACCATAAATCTGCAAAAAAACTTTCAGAAAAATTCACCGAAGGAAAATATAGATATTGTCAATTTATTGTGAAATTAGACAATACAAGTACAAATGATTAAACTTCATGGTTGCCATGGCAACACGAACACTGTTTCAATTTGTTCATAAATGGACAGCACACAGCTTCTGCACACAGCAATCATATTGCCCTGTCTTAAGTATATTTAATATAAATTCGGTTGAAAGCGAACGTTACTCAAAATACCTAGCCACTAAATAAATATGACGCCATCAAGACCAATTTGTTTCAGAAACATAATTTATTTTGGTAAGTCTAATTTTATAGTTGCTATAATATTTAACTACTCATGACAAATCCGCATACAAAGATATACTGTAAGGACTGACTACCAATATCTAAGACTTGATATTAACTCAACGGGTATACAGGGTGTATCAAAATAAACGCAATTCATCTTTTGTGCTTAATAACTTTCGAAATACTATTTCTAGTTAAACGCTTTTAGGCTTAGTTCAAAGCCTGTTCTTTTCTCTTTCAAACAAACTATTATCCTTGTCTCCAATGCTAGTAATAATTGCACAGGAAAAGATTTAGTAAAACCTATCATTTTTAGTTGCTGTTTAATTATGCAAGTTTACTATGTTATTGTTTAGTCGGTTTAAATGTTAGAATTTTCTTCTTTAAACTTCAATGTTGTCGTCACTACATCTGGAAAACCACGTAAGAACAAATTAAAAGTATTTTAAAAGAGACCAGGTTGTTTGAAAATCCTAAACGAATGCTAAAAATCGTCAAAACATTCTGGTGTCTGAGCCAGAGTGTCATCGAATTGCGATGTAATGTAAACAGAAATTATAGCAAGTTGATGTCAGTCAGCTTAGATGGTCCAAGCCAAAATTATATCGCATTTGAAGTTTCAAACTGAGTTAAAAATAGTGGAAGAAAAGCCGTAATTATACTTATTGTTACAATCCATTTAATAAAATGCAAAACTTTTTTGTTTTAATGAAAAAATCAGTTATTTTCATGAGAACGATTTCATTGCTATTCCATCTCAATTTTTTTAATCTCCAATCGCAATAACGTAAAGTATTATTACCCGCGAACCAATTAGTCAAATTTAAGAAACAACCCACTGTTAGAAAGCTGAATGGCTACGCTTTAAAATGAATGTAAACTTTAAGGTTTTGGTCTATTATTTGTTTAGCAATTTACATTTCAGTCGAGGATTGCGCTTTTTTTTATACACCCTGTATAGCGGTGTTTTATAGACCACTTAGAGTAGCGAGTTTATATCTCCTGTACATTAAAAGATAAAAATTCAAGACCAATCTCTGGAGGCTTGACTATAGCTTATGAGATATAGCTGTTATACTAGATTCCAGAAGTTGAGAATTTAAGTCTCGAGTACTTATAAACGATAAGGGGTTATGGATAATAGCAGACATGCATCTATAGTCCAACATGCAGGAACGACAATGCGCCCGCAGATTTCTGATTCTGGTTTATTTATTTATTCATTTATAAACGCCACCTTGCAATGCACACTATAATATTTTACAGGCATAATTATTTTACTTTACATAGTTCAAGGTAGGGAATCCGCAATTTATAAGCCAATTACTGCGGACCCAATCAATATTGAAAACATTAAGATACAAACACAGTTACTGAATTACAAAAAAGATAAATTCTAAAACGACAACGCATTACACTTCGTATAGAAGCACCACGACAAATAGCCTTCTCGCAGACGTTGTTATTCTTAAGGCTGTGCTGAGTGGTTATATTACTACCTTAAAAAATAAGCAGAAAATCGACGTTTCGAGCGAAGGCGCTTCGTCAAGAGTTAGTAGCAGGGATCGGGGAAAATGCACGGGCTTTTATACTAAGAGTATGAAAGCATCACGTGACAAAAAATAAACCAATTAGATGGATTTAATAATAATAACAAAGTGTAAACAAAATATGTAAATCGCATTACAGAATATAATATAATTAAAAATATAAAAATAAACAGGAAGTTAAGACAATTACTACAAAAAATAATCGAAACAAAACACGAGTGGGAATAAGGTAAAAGTAATAAATAGAAGTTGTCAATGTCTGCTATAGACAGGCAAAGACAGATGGCATCATAGACAAAACAGAAGACATGTCTTCTGGATTGTCTATGATGGCATTAAACATAAGAAAAGCGTTCATGTTGTTTACACTTTGTTATTATTATTAAATCCATCTAATTGGTTTATTTTTTTGTCACGTGATGCTTTCATACGCTTAGTATAAAGCCCGTGCATTTTCCCCGATCCCTGCTACTAACTCTTGACGAAGGGCCTTCGCTCGAAACGTCGAGTTTCTGCTTATTTTTTAAGGTAGTAATATTTACCACTCAGCACAGCATTTTCACATTGGTACTACCAACACTGGTACAGACAGTTTTAGTATATATATTATTCTTAAGGCGGATTTCCATTCAGTGCAAAATGTCGCACGATGGAATTTTTGCGATCGCTTTCTTTTGAAATGTGTGCAGTCGACTATAGCTAATGAGATTTGTTCCACTTGACGGTTAACATTTCAAAAGAAAGCAATCGCGAAAAGTCGATCGCGCAACATTTTGCACTGAATGGAAATCCGCCTTTACGCCAAGCGATGAAAAACTATAACTAACTTATTTATTACGAGCTTTCGACTGCCAGTCTGCAGTTTTCGACGCAAAATTTTTTTCCGTAGACAGTCGGACTCCTCATTGATGGTCGGACGCATCATTGAAAAGGGTCCAGGCCTCCGCGTGTTATTGATGGATCCCTTCGTAACCCACTGGTGCACCATATATCCATCACTCTACGTTCTTCTTTGACCACGTGTAGAAAGGTGAACGATTTGATTCGCGATGTCATAGCAAATCTACAAATGTGTTTTTCTTGTTCCGAAAATACTTAAGAACTGTTATCGCGAGTCAGTAAAACTATATATCCCAATTGAAGAGAATCAGGATAAGATAACTAGTGTGTAAGAAAATACTGAAAGATTTCCAAGCGACTCATCAAGACTACTTTCCACAAATAGAAATATTGCAGAATACCCGTGCACTAGTAATATCATATCATGTAGCCCGGCCACTATTTCACCGGATACGTTCTAATATACACAAACTGATTACTAAGACAATATTACGAATTGATACTATAAAGGAAATATCATGCAAGACTTTTAATGTTTAATATTATGCTTAGTATGCTTTATAATTTAATTTTTTTCTCCCAGCGACGCTAATTAATCATAATCTGTCAAACACCAATGTCCGGTTGCGAGGAACATATTTACATATTACACCACATTTAAGATTTCTATAGCATGAGAATTTAATCTATTAATGCTAACTGTCGCCTTAATCTCAAAATAACTACTTGACTGCGTATCCACTAAAATATAGAGCTAGCTACCTGTAGCATGAGAATTTGATCTAATGCTAATCTAACTGTATGCCTCGTTCTCGAAATAACTACTTGACTGCGTATCCGCGTATCCACTAGAATTAGAGCTAGTCAGCTAGATTTAACACCATGACAATTTGATCTATTAATGCTAAGTTACTGTATGCCTCGTTGCTACCTTTACCACCATGGGATTTTAACCTATCAATCTATTTATTATTAATCCATTGAGAATTGAAATGTAGATGTATTAGTACATCGTATCCATGATGTTTGAAAGGCATAGCTTAAAAGTGGACGGGTATTCTGCAATCGCTCCGAAAAGATTTACAAAAAACAATTAGAAAAGCAAAGAAAAGCAAGTGGGAATTAATGGCGAATTTAACTTAATAAAATATGGGCAGATGTCGTCACCACACAAGATATAATTGAAGCCACAATGTGTCCTGCTCAGATTTTGGCATCTCAATCAAGCAATACTGCCAATACAATATTTTGAAATCACCAATCCAAGACACACTGGGAAGACAGGTGGGAAATTTGCTGTCGCTGGTCAGTAAATTGCGGGCGCTAGCAAAAAGTTTGTTTTAAATTATTAAAATGAGCAAAAACGAGTTTTTGGACTTCTCGTTTGGGACGAAAACAGTGGATGTACAAGAATTTAAGTTTGTTTATTCAAAGGCTGTTGAAAAATGTCCTGGATAAAAGACTTTAAACTGAAATCGGACAATTATAAACTATTTATTTCTACTTTTAATCAAAAACTTTTTTGAAAATAATTTTGAAACAAATGATAGCGATATTACATTTATTAAACGACGTTTCGATGCTACAGCGTGCATCATTTTCAAGTTATAGTATTACATATATTGCGTTGATTTTAATTAAACCGTTCGTGTCACGTTAGCAAATTATTGCGTAAGCATGCAAAATTTAAATTTATATGACGTAATAAATTACATAAATTGCATTTAAAAGAAAACATAAAACAGATTAAACATATTTCTGTCTTTCATAACATGTACACAAAAAACAACAACAAACAAACATACTAAACAAAACAAACATAAAGGCCATTAATTATAGGACTAAGTATAAAGTTTTGAACGAATCGAGTCCGATTGAGTGTTCAAGGACGGCGATAGTTCCTTGATATACAACATTTCGTATAGAAGACACTCATACTTTCCTTGGCATTTTCGTAGAATTGAAAAGCAACCTTCAATTCTCGACGCATCCTCTTCGTGATCTTCCCTCATATGTTTCCCGATTACCGATCGCTTGTGCTCATCAATGCGCTGATGTAGAAAGCGCCGTACGAAAGATCTTACCAAAACAAATCGCAGATTTCATATCGCCGAAAGGTTCACGTCTTGCGCATCTTTACGGTCTTCCTAAGACCCATAAGAAAGAATTGGCAATGCGCCCCATCCTTTCTGCCACGGATACCTACAACTACAAGCTCGCAAAATGGCTCGACGAGAAGCTAAAGCCTCTTTCCACCAACGAGTACACTATTCCTGATCCCCTCTTATTCTCCGAAGAATTGCGAAAGAAAGAAATCCAAGATGGTGAAATCCTAGTCTCGTATGATGTTTCCTCCCTCTTTACCAACGTCCCGGTTGATGAGACAATAGAAATCGTGGTAGACAAAGCATTTCATAACGAGTGGTTCAACAAGACATCATCTACAACTCGAAAGATCGGAACTAGCCAACTTGTTGAACTTGGCCGTGAAGAACCAACTTTTCCAGTTAGACGGTAAGCTGTACCGGCAGGTAGACGGCGTTGCGATGGGATCACCACTTGGCCCCTTGATGGCGAACACCTTCATGTGTTCCATTGAACAGAAACTCGTTGACAACAACCGTATGCCCTCGTTTTACCACCGTTTTGTTGATGACACCATTACCACCCAACGAAGTTTTGCATCGGCGGAAGATTTTCTTAATACCCTCAACAACTGCCATCCATCCTTGAATTTTACAATGGAATGTGAAGTCGACGGGAAGCTGCCTTTTCTTGGTATGGAAGCGATAAGAACGCATGGCCATATCGAAACGAAAGTTTACGTCAAACCAACAAATACCGGCCTCCTTCTTCACTACCAAAGCCATGTCGATCGTAGATATAAGAAATCATTGATTACTACCATGCTAAACCGTGCATTCCGTTTATCGTCATCCTGGAAACACTTTGTGGAAGAGTGTGATCGTCTAAAGAGCGTTTTTGCCAATCTACGATATCCTCTCAGACTCGTTGACTCAATCATCTCTGAGTTTGTAACCAAGAAATAATAATAATAATAATAATTTAATTTGTATTGCGCAAGTTCCATTCGGATATGCTCACATGCGCATGACAGTGGTATAAAACAAAATCTAAATATTTATATAAAAGATAAAAGATAGTTAAGACAGTCCAGACTATTCATTAATAATCAGTTTTGAGTATATATACTATTAGTTTCGTAAAAGATATTATTATTATTGATAAAATCATACTGTTTTGTTATAAAATATTATAATACGCTTTCCTAAATAAGTGTGTCTTTAAGAGTTTCTTGAAGCTCCCGATGGAATCAGCTTGCTGGATGCGTAAAGGTAAATCATTCCACAACTTTGGCGCTGCACATCCAAACGAACGATCACCAAGAGTCGGTAATGTTTTAAGGGTAGTCTTCTGGAGCAAAAGTTTCGAATTCGATCTCATGCTATAAGACGATGGAGGTTTGATGGTTATAAGCTCAGAGATATAGTCAGGTGCCAAACCGTGGAGTGCCTTGAAAGCATTTAGTAAAACTTTGAAGTCAATTCTGAATTTTACTGGCAGCCAGTGTAGATCCATCAAGGTTGGTGTTATGTGGTCAAACCGTGAGACATTGCGTATCAGTCTCGCTGCTGCATTCTGCACGCGTTGAAGTTTGTTAAGCTGATTCGCAGGCAAACCATAGTACAAACTGTTACAGTAGTCTAAACGACTCAGAAATGAACAGCTCGACCCCAACTGAGTATGTGAAAAGAGATGTGATTTGCGTGGCCCTGCCGTTTAAAGATCAGAAGTCGTCTGATATCGTGCGAAGACAACTCGCAGGCCTTGGTACGGTGATTGGTAGATCATTAGAGCCAGTATTTAAAAGTAGAAAGATTAAAGAAGAAGTTAAAGTTCACGAGATGAAACCACCAATTGTAAATCAACAACGCGTTGTGTATAGATATAAATGTGATCTGTGCGATGCAGATTATGTTGGCTATACTAGTCGGCACAAACAGGTGGGAAATTTGTCTGCGCATGCGCTACATTTTGCGCGGTTTAAGAGAAAGAGACTTGGGGCGAGTAAATACAATAATTTGGTTTTTGAGCATTTTATTTGCGTTTTTGCCTCGTTTTTTTTTTTGCTAACCAAAAAATTGTTAATCCATTGCATTGTTGGGAAGGCGAGGAAAGTATGAGAACGTTCACAGGCTAAAAATATTTATAAAATTGCAACTTTTGCGTAACCTTATATATCGGAACTGCCTCGGATTCCGATGGAAATGTCCAATAATTCCTATACTATTCCGTATTTTTAGATGAATGAATTACTTCCCAAAATAAAGTATATGTTTTAAGGAGTAGTTTAAACCATATTTGGTTTTGAGGCTCTCGGCCAGATTTTAAAATATTTTAATTTTTTTTATTTTATTGTGCCAATCTTTACCCCCCATAAATCACCCCGTATTAATTTGGAGAAAGATGGAAATGTATTCCCATGAATTCAAAACTGCTCATATTTTCTGAATCAATAGATTCTAATTGTTCAACGAATATGCTTTTACGAACAGGATTAGCAAACACATGCAATTTCTAGCGAAATATTAAGAGGCACCTATTCAGACTACTACAGACTACATTAGACGGTTGTGCCGTTTTTTATATAAACCCGTATTTTCACATGAACAACACTTTGATTAGTGAATTAAGAAATCTTTGAAGAATCGTTTAGAGATAGTCCCGTTTTGAGGCTCTCGACTAGATTTTTTGCAATCTTAAGTTGACAATTTAGCTTTTTCCTATTTTTAGCAAAATCACGATTTTTGCACTAAGTGTTTTCAAGGATTTAATCATAAATAAACATTCCAAGGATATTTCTGAGTAGAAAAATGCATTAAAAACAAATTTTAAACCCACCCTGAGTTTATTTTTTGAATTTCATCTGTCCAGGGAGTAAAAACAACTTGCATCTTCGAAAAAAGTTAAATTTCGTCTATATTTCGTCGTAGAAATAAATAATTTTGAAACAAATGATAGCGATATTACATTTATTAAACGACGTTTCGATGCTACAGCGTGCATCATTTTCAAGTTATAGTATTACATATATTGCGTTGATTTTAATTAAACCGTTCGTGTCACGTTAGCAAATTATTGCGTAAGCATGCAAAATTTAAATTTATATGACGTAATAAATTACATAAATTACATTTAAAAGAATACATAAAACAGATTAAACATATTTCTGTCTTTCATAACATGTACACAAAAAACAACAACAAACAAACATACTGAACAAAACAAACATAAAGGCCATTAATTATAGGACTAAGTATAAAGTTTTGAACGAATCGAGTCCGATTGAGTGTTCAAGGACGGCGATAGTTACTTGATATACAACATTTCGTATAGAAGACACTCATACTTTCCTTGGCATTTTCGTAGAATTGAAAAGCAACCTTCAATTCTCGACGCATCCTCTTCGTGATCTTCCCTCATATGTTTCCCGATTACCGATCGCTTGTGCTCATCAATGCGCTGATGTAAGGGAAGCGCATCTAATAAGAATAGTATGCGCTGTCCCGGAGCAGCGCTCTAACCAACTGAGCTACAGAGACCAGTTGTTGAGCTGTAACCGTAAGTTCATGTATATATAGGTAATCGGGTGTGCGGGTTGTGATAAGGTGCACTTCAATTATTAGGTTTCTTGCACTTCACTTGGTGGAATAAATATTAGAATGTTAGGGTTTGTAATCCAAGTGAGTATATATATACATTTTAAGACCTGACCAGGAACGACTGCGAAAAATGCAGCACAAGGTCCTCTGGTAGGAATTGAACCTTATCACAACCCGCACACAGGACCTTGTGCGGCATTTTTCGCAGTCGTTCCTGGTCAGGTCTTAAAATGTATATATACTCACTTGGATTACAAACCCTAACATTCTAATATTTAAATTTGAATGCAGGTCTTTAAGGTCTTTAAAAAGTCTTTGACTTGTGTGAAAAAGCGAAGAAACTCTTTAAAAGTCTTTAGTGACTATTTGGTTATACGATTTCCTACCTAATAAAACTACAGATTGATTGAAGCAAGATTTTCGCAAATATCGACGAAAGGCGCATTTTAGGATGTGATTTGTGGGGACTAATTACTCGGGGGAAAATGGTGTTTACACTCGCAGTTTTTCGACAGCTAATTGCTCTAAAAGGTCTTTGAAAAGTCTTTGAAAATAGGCAGAAAAAATCTTTGAAAGTCTTTGAAATTTTTTGGCCTGTCAATCAAATCTGATACGTAGTAATTATGCTATAAATAATTTCCAGACTTAATGTTGATTTTTTAAATAAACATAACTTTAACGGTTCCTATTGGATAGGTTTAATTGGATATAAGTAATGTTTATGAAAAGCGGAGCCAACCTCGGCAAGAGCAAAAAGTGGGCGTATTTCGTTTCTTGTGCTGTCGGCGGTCCCTTCTTTTTTCTGACTGCTCGCGGTCTAGGAACAAATATTCGGACAGTATATAAATATAACTGAATAAACGTACTGAAATAAGAAAACAGAACTCATTTTAGAAGGTTAATATTTAATTTGTGTTAAAAAATTCATAATGTATATTTAGGCTGATGTGAAAGATAGATCTTGAAGAAAAGGATCATAAGTCTTTACTTGGTAAATCAAACCAATACGTCCCTAGTAATTATCCTGAATCTTGCAAGGAATGGGCATACTTAAACGGCGGAAAGTGTGCTTCAAGTTATTTTTGGTTTCTGGAGCAATCTTTACCTTATACGGCTTTGCCTGGCTAAAAGCTGTTTTGAATAACCGTTATAACGTCCCACCTCAGAAGGAGGAATCAGGAATCCATGTAATAACTAACTATCCACTGATGACTGAAAAACCTTGGAACGAAAGCCAAACAGAAACCAACAGATCCAGACTATGGCAACGACAGGAAGAGATAGAAGAAACATTACAGAAAAATCTCAACCACACTTTAGTCACAGCTGTTCATCTTCTCGTTAATCAACCATTAGCCGAACAAAGATTGAGCGAACAAAATTTTCATAACAAACACAAAATATTTGTACATCGCATCAACGCCTTGCCGAAATACAGAGATTTTTTCGAATACGTAAACGACAGACTCCAAAATCAGTTTGTGGTTATAACGAATATGGATATTTATCTTGGCGAAGGATTTGAAATGATAAATAAAACATTTCTGGTAAAAAGTAATATATCTTACGCCTTAACACGCCATGGACGTCAGGAAAAAAGATGCAATATGGGCGGAAAACGTGGATATTGTGGAGTAAGCTATGTCGGTTCACATGATACCTATATTTTTGTGCTTACACAACCTTTAGATGATTGTGTTCTGGCTGAGTTCGATTATAATATGCATGTCATGGGGTCGGATAACAGAATGATTTGGATACTAAAAAACCGGATGAAAAAGAAACCTCTTAATCCATGTAAATACTTAAAGACATACCACAACCACTGTGTTGATATACATGGTAGTGTAAGACCACGGATAAGTTTGAATCGGAATATTGGTAAAGGTGCTATAGTGAAACCCGGTGGGTTATATGAATGACATGAAGTGCCTGTTACCGTAACTAGACAATTCCTTTCTAAAGGAAATCATTTAGCTAGACAACGGACAGAAATATTTTATGGTACAGTGCATGTGTAATATAACATTTTGGATTAGCTAACTCGATTCAGTACAACAGCTAGGATAAACATTTAACTTGACTCCTATACTGAACGTATTACACAGTGCAATTGCAAATATTATAATTGTAAATGCAAATTCTTCCGAATTAAAAAGGCAGGCATTATAAATGTAACGTAATACCATAGGATGCATATGACAGGATAGCGAAGAGAACTGGAGTATTAAATTTAACTCTTGACCCTCGAAATGATGCTGTATGTATAGCCTTGATCTTTCAAAATTGTTGTCTACTACCTGGCACGAGTTAATCCTGCATGCCCAAGAGCTTGTTTTCTCTGTAATACCTCCTCCACTGCAGGGGGAGCATAGAGAAAATAGTACGGTACGTATAGACAAAAAATGATCCAACAATATTTATGGCATATATACGTTAATATTGAATAATACTATTGATAAAAACCATTAAATAACTAAATGATGTGAGTTTTACACATTTCATTCAACCCCGCGACTCAATAAAATACACGGTTTGGAGCTTTTTTACGACCCGCGTCTTTACACGCGACCCGCGACCATTAGTCAAACTCACTAGCCAACAGTCAATAACTTAAATCCAAGTCGGTTGAAGAGTATACCATTTCAAATAAATATCCAAAAAGCTCAATACCTTAAAATATTGCATAGTACCTGTAAATATAATCAGTTTCCCAAGTATCAAGATATATAAATAAACAATTTGGTATTATTTTTCATCGGAAGATTCTTCAATCTTCATAATTTACGAATTTTACGGCGTTTTACGCCCCGCCGATGATCAGGTGATCATTCACTTGGTCCGCCCGTCCGCCGATGGCGTAAAATATCAATAATATTTTACGCCAGAGATATCCAGCGTAACACCTACGAATTCCAACCTGGCAGGCTGCCAGTGGCCTTTGCAGTTGCGAGTAAGAACATTCAAGAATGAGATTCCATCTTTCATAATTCACTATTCAGCAATGACTCTTTTTATGCAAAATAGCACTAAAAACGCAGAAACACATATAGAATGTCAAGGTAAACATGGGCCAACTGGCAGCCGCGCGATAATTATGAGAGTCTTTGTATACAAAATTGCTAGCGACACTGGTATGGTATGATGGATACCAATGACAATGACTAAATGATTTCTTTGTTATGACAACGTTATCTTATAGCACGCAACCGAAATATTCAAACTATTTACTATAGGCAATTCAAACGCATGTATAGCTGATAACTGCATGATATATTGTAGTAATTCCACGCTTGTTGAATATTTCATGATAAAAAATTGGAATGCGTTGAAGGTTGGTCTGATATCTTTACGAGAATCAAGTGTATCGTATACGAATATCAAGTGTCTGCATGCACTTGAGATCAAGCACTTACATGAAGACAATTAAGTGCATAGAACTGGACTTAACAAGTCATATCAACTAGACTAGCGAACATGCAAGTGAAGTTTGTATCCAATCCCAGTAGAAAAGCCGATTTCACAAAATAATAAAAGCATTGGCTACAGGAGTATATCCGACCAGTCATAAGAGACGCGGTATCTATACTCGAGAATCGAATTGTCTCTGCACTTAATAGATCAAGCACTTGCATACATAGTCAGTTATCTACTATTTAAAACATGAGCAGGACTGCGAGTGTTTTAAATGGCTTTAAAAACAACCCCGCCATCTCATGAGTTTATTGGCGAAGTAATTTTAAAAATGAATGTTGTCTAAGTCGAGAAAATCAAAGCTAAAGTTTACATCATTTCTATATATAGAGCTCAGCGGAAACATATAAATTATAGCATCTGACCAATGAGAATTTCGCGTCACGATTTGAGACGCAGATATTCAAATTCATTAGT